TATTTTTCCATTGCAATTACATGACCTTTTATAGGCATAAAAAATAAAGATGATGGACATAAAATAGAAAATTTAATCTTTAAGTTATTCACAACATAGGCATCCAATGTAGTATCCAATGTACAAACTATTCATAACAAAACATACATATTCAGACAACTACATTAAAAGCTACTACTTCTATGAATCATATCTTTAATATTTAAAAGTAATAATTAAAGAAGTATCTTTTAGCTCTTCAAATAATAGTAATAATAATAATAATAATAATAATAATAATAATAATAATAATAATAATGCTAACCTTTTTGTGATCAAATGAGTATATATCAAAATAAAAATTCGTGTCACATGTGGGTGTTATATCCCCTTAATTTTAGTTAAAAAAATCAAGTGCACGCAAGAGTCCATACTCAACACAAGTGTTTTGAGTCATGCCACATAGAAGACTCCATTGTTAAGAATCACAAACATGGGGGATAATTTGGTAATTTTAGTCGGTGGAATTAACTTTGGCTTCGAACAGAAAATGAAAATGAAAGAGAAATTGAAGTTGAAATGAGAATTGGATTCGTCTTCTTGTCTTCAACCCTTTCTTCTTCTTCTTCACAGATTGGATCCTCCATTTCTCGGTCCATCGTACGGCCTACACCCTCACTCCTGCTCCATCGTCCCTTTCACATCATTCCAAATCGTACAACCACTCGAAGCAACAATTTGCAGTTTTCAGCACGTACAACCCTTACTACATCAGTTTCTTCCATGGCTTCCTCTTTCATGCCTGAACAAGCTAGGGTTCCTACCGCTCTCCAATTGCCCTCTCCTTCCATCACAAAGGTCTCCCCCCCTTTTTTTGTGCGTGTTTATTAATTGTGTGCATGTATAAGTGATTTTTTCTTTGAATAGTTTAGTTAATTTAACTTCACTTATTTGAATTAAAAATTACCTGTCTCGCTCACCTAAGTTGAGTTGTGGTAATAGTTGATTTGATAGGTGAATTTTGTTTAATCCATTTTTGATTTGTGAATTTGATGTTGAATGAGCAGTTTAAGATTGGGCTATGTCAATTAGCAGTGACATCAGATAAGGAAAGGAATATTATTCATGCTCGAACAGCAATTGAGGAGGCTGCTGAGAAGGGGGCTAAGCTTGTTGTTTTGCCTGTGAGTTCACATATAATTTGTTCTTTCAATGCATCTGTTTCTTGTCGTATACATATATCAGTAGTAATACTCTGTCTGATTGCCGCAACTGTAAATTTTGGTATGCATACTTAGTGTTCGTTAGGGTAAGCAACTCAGTTATAAAGTCTTAACATTTCCAACGGCTAATAGCCTAATATATCGATGTGACCATCAAATTATCTGAGCATCCAATCCAAAATTTTAAGATAATGGGCAGAGTAGGACAAGGCCATTATAAAATTCTTTTGAAACACTTTATACAACCAACATAGGACACTGTATGACCGTAGCTAATTGTGTTCCAGATATTATTGCTGTTTCAATCTTAAATTAGCCTCCCTATTAACATGCAAATGCCTATGAAAGCTGCACTTCTTTCATATATCTAAATGTGTTTGTAATCTTTATTCCAATTCATTAGTGGAGAGGAAATGTGCGTACCATTGTCTCATCTTGTATGAGGGCTGTTACGTATGACATATAGATTCACTTTGAGTATCTCGTCATGTCCTTTCCTAGTTTATGGTAAGAATTTGGACATAATCATATGTTGAGGCAACAAAGAGATGTTTTCTTATGTAGATTTTGCTACCTGAAGCGGACCTTTCTGCAATGGCTTGGGTATTAACTGCCATTGAAAGTTTACAGCAGTTGATTTTAGCTTACTATTGGGCTTTGCTTTTTGCTAGGAAATATGGAATAGTCCATATTCAAATGATAGCTTCCCAATTTATGCTGAAGACATTGATGCTGGTTCTGATGCATCTCCATCAACTGCCATGCTCTCTGAAGTAGCTCGACTTCTGAAGATCACAATAGTGGGAGGCTCTATACCTGAACGCAGTGGGGACAAGTTGTATAATACTTGCTGCATTTTCGATGCTGATGGAAAGTTGAAAGCTAAGCACAGAAAGGTAAGCAAATACCTCTCTTGTTGTAGTGAGGGCATGTAGCTTTAGCTTTGCCACTGAGATCTAGAAGAAACTAAGGAAGTGATTGTCATATGCTCAATCAATTATGTAAACTATAAACTTCAATAGTACAAGGTTCTGAGAGTGTATAATCTTGGTTTTCGGATTTAGAAATTGAATGATGTTGTAGAGTGTAGTCAGACGTTTATTTCTTGGTGACAGATCTGTGAGTGTTACTTGTTCCAGCCCCTCATAATTTTCTGTTTAATATTACTACTAACTTATATTTGACAAATATTGGGGGGGGGTGTCTTGTTCTTTTTTTTTGTACTTTTCTGGGTTGAAAAGCATCTTGATAATGTTATTTTACACTCAAAAGAGTACTCCCAGTGATCTGGGCGGAATAGATGATTTTCGAGTTTAATTAAAGAATTTTTGGGCAAAAAGATAAGAGAATAAACTAAGATTAGTCAAGTTTTGCCTATTCTCTGCATTTGAGGAATTCCATTATATTTTGTTTTATTTTTATTTATCCTTTTGAAATTTCGGACTCCATTAGATTTTACTGAAATCTTAATTTTAGTACCGTTCTGCGATAAAAGGTCCGGGAACTAATAATATAGACGCGGGGTCCAACCGATAAACTGTCCACGGTCGTCCAGTTGTAAGCCTTTTTAATATGAATAGAAGTATTTCTGTAGCTGTTCACAGAGTTATAGGGTTGGAGTAAAATAGTAGAATTATAAATGCCAATTTTTGCCTTGCATAATGGCATGTGCCCATTAGCTAAGTAAGTCTAGTCACCAAGCAAAAAAACATATCTAGTAGTATTTTGGGAAAATCAAGAAGATGGGAACTCTGCAAAATTTCTGACGCATTGATGTCTTTGCAGATACATCTTTTTGACATAGATATTCCTGGTAAAATAACCTTTAAGGAGTCAAAGATGCTTACAGCAGGAGAGACTCCAACTGTTGTGGATACAGGTATTTTCTCCATCTTACTTTCTGGCATCAACCAAATTACTCATAAGATAGTGTTAGAGACAGCTCCACTGTTCTGAAAGTTCTTCCAGTTAATATAATAACTTTAACTGCTTGTTTATGTTCCGTATTTTGATAGATTTGGTTACATTGTCTTCTGCTTCATTGAAGAGCATGAATATTTCCTTTTCTGTATTTCTAAGTTAATTGATGCATCCATCCAGTGCGTTTGAGAAATAATTATAACTATATTTCTGCAGAGATTGGCCGAATTGGTATAGGGATTTGCTACGACATTCGCTTTCAGGAATTGGCTATGCTATATGCAGCAAGAGGTGTGTATTTTCCTTTTTTAGATTTCTGCAAGGAGTTGTGAATTGCTGACTGTTTATATATGTAAACTTTTTCTTTAAACCTAATACTAGTTCATGTCAGCATAATGTGTTGTGTTTTAATGATTTACACCGTAATGCTAATGAGTAATGTCTTTGGCTTTATTAGAGGAAGTCAATGATTGTTCATAGCTATTACCTTGTATACCAAAGAAGAGTTCAACTGCTTTACTTCTGGTCTAGTAGGAGTGTGTAGACAATTTAATAATGACACAACGCATGTTTCATTACGACATTGAAATATGGTCCAGTGTTTGTAACCTTGGTTCAGCGTTGTGCATGCTTTGAAATAAGTACACATCAGAAGCTTCCAATTCATTTGCAAAGAGTGACCTAGAGACTTAAACTTAAGTAATTTGTACATCACAAGGAATTCCAGACCAACTTACAGCACCTCTGTTTTCACTGCTGAAATTGATAATTTATTCACAATATAACTCTTGAAAGCAATTGCTCAAAAAGAAAAAGAAAAAGAAAAAGAAAAAGAAAAATGTCACTCTTGAATGCATTGTGGAGAGGTCCCAAAGGCAAATGTTTTGACAATTTTCAGAACTCATACACCAACTGATTGAAAAAATACATGTCCATATCCGTGTTCAGTGCAGTATGGTGAATTTGGGAGTAAAAAGCGTAAATTCAGCTCATCTAACTGCTGAAGCTCTTGGTTCTAGTTATTCAGTCTGTATACGCTATCTCCTATATATGGTGGGAGACAAGGGCCTACTTCATAAGTAGCAGTATCAAGGCAAAGATGATCTAGAATGGAGAGGCATTATGGAGAGAATCTCGATTTAATGAACCGCAACATTAGAAAAATTATAGTTTGGCGACAACCAATAGAAAAGAAAAGAAGAATTGAACCAATCAATTTTCTCCTTATCAGTCATATGACCTGCAGAATATTTGTGGGAAATCCACTGAAGACTGGGAGAACCTAAAAGGAGACAGGTCTTAACCATTTCAAAAGGTTCATGCTTACATTTCAATTCTAGTTCTGTGAATAACACTCGACAATAGTTCCGAGAAGATTATTCACAAATGATTGTGTATAAAAAGATGAAGTGAACCGACAAGAAAGAGAATAAGAGTTGCAAAATAAACAGAAAGATTATAGGGCTTGAGTATTGCGAACTGGGAAGCACCATGATACCATGAGTAAATGCGTCATCGTAATTGGATGCAATTATTAAATAGATTAATTTAGTTTTAGACATATCATGCAATTAATATTATCGGGGAAACATAACCTAATTGCCACACTTTTGTGGAATTCTCGACATACCTTATTAATTGTTTATGTGTTTTGTTCATTGAGTTACAAACTTGTGCATAAACTTCATTATTTTCATTTGTTCTTTCAACTAATCCTGCATAGCATTCCTCCTGTTCTCATTTGCTCTTTCCTTTTCAAGACAATTGGGGTATATTTAGAGACAGTGGACACTAGATGTACCCGCAACAATAGGATCTTTTATTTCCTCACCCTTTTTTCCAATAAAAGCAGCTCCTCTACCATCATCATAACTAAAAACCTTCTCCCTACTATTATCATCATCAAAATGCATTGTTTTGCCATCATCATAACCAAAATGTTCTTTTCCTGCACCATCACCATCGTCACGAACTACTCCTCCTCCTATTCTACTATCTCCACTAACGTATTTTTCTCCTGTACTACCATATCCTCTCGCCACATGGTCATCTCCAATTTGTGGTGTTTGCACACTACCCTTCTCTATCTTAAAGGCACCACCCAAACATGTATGTCACTCCATCCAACTCTTTACTTAGGCTATCCATCATCATGTCGTCTTTGTCGAGTAAAATAACAAGATTTTGGATATAAGCCTCCCTCTTTTCAGCCTTTCTAGGATAAAGAAAAGGGTGTACCCCAAAGCAAAGATATTAGAGACATGATTGAAACATCCTATAGATGCTTAAAACACTTTCTACAGAATGTTTAAAAGATGTTTCAAACATCTTTGAAACATCCACCAGAATGAACCTTATTGGATCATCTTTGATTTGAAATGGATTAGGCCTGCCTTTTTCTATCTTTTCAAACAACCACCTCTTGATTCGCGGCGATGTCCTCTCTTTTGGATAGTTTTTTGGCTGCAATTGAGGCATGGCTTCAAACGCCTAAGCCTATATTGTGTGATAAAAAAATAAATAGAAAATGATATAAATAACACAAAAATAGGAATAATGAACAAGATTTATTTAGTTACCATGAATGTCCAAGGAAATCCTTGGAAGTTATATGAGTCACTCTTAGATTGTTGATGCTCTTTCATATCTTTCATAAGATAATCAACAGTCAACCAGAAACTATTTCGTTCCCATGGATAATTGTAGAAAAGCCTTTTCTGTGGAGGCCAATCTGACTGTATTTTCATGAACACTACAGTTCTGATCCTTTGTCAACAAAAATGCAATGAACAAACCAGATCAAACATAGTGCATACTTGTATTTTTTTTTTTGGATTTGGATTTGATCATCTCAAACACTATTTTACAAGTCACATACCTTTTCTCTTTGGTAATAAGTTGCTACAAATCTTCACCATCAAGAAGATACTTTTCAATCTTCGAATTAGTGTAAGAATGTCCACAGTTGAGTCCTGTCATTATGGCAAACTCACGAAGGCCAAATCGGACTAGTAATCTTTTGTAATTCAGCCGTAACTCCTGGATCTTCTCGCAGAACACTCTAAGGGGTAGAAGGCCATGCACTATAGAGAATGAAACAGTGGCCTCCCAGGCAAATCCAAAAAGTGCCTTATAGGACTACTCCTAAACTTGTTGTCGAGGCCCTCATCCAGCATCCTTTAACAAATTTCTGAACTCACCCATACATGCTAATCCTAATGAGGATCTCACTGTGATCTTCCAGTTGAAGGTCTCATTATCATCCAAAAATGTCTTGAACTTGAACTATGGAAGTTCCGAGCGAAGCTTTAAGATTTCAACCTCGCAACTGTCATCCTCATTTTTAGGCATCTCAACTTGTACATGATTAAAAAACTTTGATTTTTAAAAAGCACAAGGATACTCAATTTTATAATTAAAAAAATCTCTTTACAATCATTTTACAGAGATATATTTGAAACATATTGAGTTGACCTCAACAACTTGAGAATGTGCATTATCATTCTTTCTCTTTTTTCTTCTTTCTGTCTCCTCTTCTTCTTCTCTTAAAGCTTTTTTTTCTCTTGGTTTCAACATAAAATCTTCATCTCCAGAGGTCTTCTCTTCTATTTCTTTCTCTTTCAACCGCTACAAAGATTTCATGTTGAAACCAAAAGAAAAAAAGCTTCAAGAGAAGAAGAAAAAGAGGCAGAAAGAAGAAAAAAAATAGAAAGAATGATAATGCCTCTTCTAGGTAAGCTCAATATATTTCAAACATTTCTTTGTAAAAATGACTATAGGGAGTTTTTTTTTAATTATTAAATTGATTACCCTTGTGCCTTTTATTAAGCAACATTTTTAAATGATATACATGTTGAGATGCCTAAAGATGAGTATGGCAGTTGCGAGGTTGAAATCTTCAAGCTTCAGTCGGAACTTCGACAGTTCAAGTTCAAGACATTTTTGGATGATAATGAGACCTTCAACAAGAAGATCACAGTGAGATCCTCATTAAGATTAGCTTGGGTGAGTTCAGAAATTTGTTGAAGGATAGGGGCCTCGAAAACAAGTTTAGGATTAGTCCTTTCGGGCGCTTTTTAGATTTGCCTGAGAGGCCACTATTCCGGCATCTATGGTGCATGGCCTTCTACTCCGTAGAGTGTTCTGCGAGGAGATCCGCGAGTTATATGGTTTAATTGCAAAAGATTACCGGCCTTCGTGAGTTTGCCATATTGACTGGACTCAACTGTGATATTCTTGCACTAATTCGAAGATTGAAAAGTACCTTCTTATGGTGAAGATATGTGGCAACTTATTACCAAAGGAAATAGGCCTGTGACTTGTAAAACAATATTTGAGTCGATCAAATCCAAAAAAATACAAGTATGCACTATGCTTGATTTGGGTTGTTCACTGCATTTTGTTGGCAAAGGACCAAAACTTGTGGTGTTCGTGAAAATACAGTCAAATTGGCCTCTACAGAAGAGACTTTCGACAATTATTCATGGGGCCGAAATAGTTTCCGCTTGACTATTGATTAATTTATGAAAGAGCATCAACAATCTAAGAGTGACTCGTATAGTCTCTACGGATTTCCTTTGGCATTCATGGTAACTAAATAAATCTTGTTTAATATTTCTAATTTTGTATTATTTATATAATTTTTTATTTATTTTATTGTCACACAATGTAGGCTTGGGCATTTGAAGCCATACCTCAATTGCGGCGAAAAGATTATCCAATAGAGAGGATGAAGAAGTGGTTTGAAAGATTAGAAAAAGAAAGGCATGATCCATTTCAAAGATGATCCAGTAAGGCTCATTCTTTTCAAATATCTTGTAAATGTTTGAAACATTTTGCAGAAAGTGTATTAAACATCTCTTAGATGTTTCAAGCATGCATCTAATATCTTTGCTTATAAATCTTTATATTCCCTACCGAGGTGGTGCACCACTGTCTTTATCCCACAGAGGGATGCATACATTCAAAATTTTGTTATTTTACCGGACAAAGTGGACATAATGATGGATAACCTAAATAAAGAGTTGGATGGAGTGATAATCTTAAGACATTTGGGTGGTGCCCTCCCCACAAATTGGATATAGCCATGTGTTGGAGGAGCTGCTTCTATTGGAAAAAAGGGCGAGGAAATAAAAGATCGTGTTGTTGCGGTACATTTAGTGTCCACTGTCCTTGCATATGCCCCAATTGTTTGGAAAATGAACAAATGAACCAAAGGAATGCTATGCCGGATCAGTTGAAATAGCAAATGAAATGATTGTAGTTTATGCAGAATACCGTGGATCCTGCCTAACAACAGTGGCGGCTTATCGGTAATTTCTCATGGCTGCTTATCAATAGTTTCTCCACTATCATTATCTTTGTCAATGGATCCTATGTTTGATTTCCAGGTGCTCACCTGATCTGTTATCCTGGGGCATTCAACATGACTACAGGACCACTGCACTGGGAGTTACTGCAAAGGGCAAGGTAATATGAATATCTTCTTTAGGTGAAGTTGTTCTGTTGTTAAACATCTAGGTCATTTGTTTATTGAAAAAAATATCTATGTTAAATCCTTCATAAGCCCAACTCCAATAGCGCCACATCTGACATTACTAATCTGTGCCTTTTTCTCATGCAGGGCAGTTGATAATCAGGTATAACAGAGTTCCTATATAATCACAACCTTTGGACCAGAAAAGGTTTAAAAGTGAAAGGCTTGAGATGCTTCTCACCTTTTTGGTGCAGCACCATTTTATTCTGCATGTTAATATACCTAACACCTTGAGCTGTTTTCGCCTTATAATGTCCTTGTTTTCCACATAAACCGAGAAAGTGTTGCGTTACTATATGGTGCATGAAATATCTCAGGAAAGGATAAGATGAACAAACACAGATGTTTATCCAGGGTTTGTATATTTTCAGTCATTGTCACTACTTGGATCGACTCTTTAACTTTTTTGTCTTGGAAATGAGTTTAAAAAGGAATAAAATGGAACCCAATAAGTAGAAGGAACAGGGCAAGGGTAGCTACAGCAAAGGTAAATCTATGAGTTTACTGGAAGCAAACTCTAATTGTAATTAGGGCACCTAGCTTTACCATTCAGATGACTCGCAATGGTCTTGTGCATCGGTGTCTTTATTGAAAGTTTAAAAAAACACAATGGTCTTGAATATTTTTATATGCTTTGTCGTAAAAAATAAATATACTTGTTTCAGCTATATGTCGCAACATGTTCACCTGCTCGAGATGCTGGTGCTGGATATGTGGCTTGGGGGCATTCCACATTAGTTGGACCAGTAAGTGATCATATTTTATGTCCTTGTGACTTGTGAAAATAAACAAATGAATCCTCTGATTTAAAGAGAGAATAGTCTTCTCCGTGTACAAAGAGAAGGGGTGTCATTAGTTGTAACTACTATGATTAATTGGTATATATGTGGCAGTTCGGAGAAGTGCTGGCGACGACTGAACATGACGAGGCGATAATCATCTCGGAGATTGACTATTCACAAATTGAGCAGAGGAGGTGAGATTCCAGGCACCTACTACGTGTTTCCTTTTGACGTTCTTTGCAATTACAACTATTATGGGACTTCTACAGTAAACATATGAATCATTGGCAAATTTGACATCCAGGACAAACCTTCCATTAGAGAAGCAAAGGCGTGGTGATCTTTACCAGTTGGTAGATGTACAGAGGTCAAGTTCTCAGTAATGCTAGTTATGTGTCATAAGGAGTGTAATGATGACATGAAAACCTGATAGTTTTGCTTGAGAACTGAAGTTCTATGGAGATGGGGATCATGTCTAGAAAAGATGATTGCTAATTCTTCCATAGTGGCTGATGGTCAGAGTTCTAGTCAATCATCCTTAATTTAATCTTCAACTTTGGATGTGCAACATATTCTGATGCAGAAGGTGGATGTTCTGCTTATAGGATAATGACATTATGTGCAATAAGGGAGACCGATTGTTCATGTATTGTTCTGGTGATTGTACTATGTCTGTTTGGAATATAATTGCGGCACTGCCCTTGTGTCAATGAAATCAACATCAAGCTCCCTAAATAAGCTACATTGAAGCATTTTATAAACAGGAAGTCAAGATGAAAAGGATACTTGGGATTAGTTAACAATCTCAAGGAAACATGTGCTTTTCACGAGATGTAACTATAGGAGATCATATAATTGTTGTCTAGGACATCAGTGACCCTACTTGCTGGTACATCTCATCTTGCACCAATCTATAAGCTATCACAGCTTTAGAAATATCAACTTTGACCAAACAGAGTGTCATTTGTTCATTTTTAGAGTTGACGGGGGAAACTGTCTTTGCAAATGGATTAGTCCTAAACATATCCATGAAACAGCTATTATTTTCGACATTGATGTTCTGTACCTTAATATTCCACAACCTGGGCTGGTTTCAAATTATCTAGGAAATCCATCAAGTAAGAGTGGACATTAATGGGGCCATTTGCATCTATACTTGTTTTTTGTGTCACGTGTTAACTTGTGCCCGCTTTGCAAAACAAATTGCAAGCGTACCCGCTTTTTCGCATAACTTCAGCATACGAGGCTGAAGTAGCAAAGACAATCACGCAAAACTTCAGCATTCTAGTAGGCGGGCCTGAAGTAGCAAGTGTGCTGAACTAAGTGTGTTGAAGTTTTTATTTTGTAACTAGCAAACTTCAGCGAGCTGAAGTTTTTGTTTTTGTAACTGACGAAGTTTTTGTTTTGTAACTGGCGAACTTCAGCTCTAGGGCTGAAGTTATTTAGTTCATTTGTAAAAATTTCAACACTATTTATGTTTGTTTGGGATCTTGGTCATCTGTATTTTGTTTGTAATTATGCAACAAGAAAAGAAAACGAGAGTATGCACAAATCTAATAACTCATCATCATACACTGATCAGTAAAGTCACCAATTTCAATAAAAATCTTGCAACTGAAACTAACGTGCCTCTGAACTAATTGGTTACATCAACAAGTAACGTCGTCTAAATTTACTATTACATAGCTTTGAAAGAAGAAGAAAAGGGAATGATAATACAAGGGTCAAAATATAGATAACCAAGATCCCAAACAAACATATGCACCAAGAATCTACTCATCTAATATAGTTACAACTAGTTATTTAGTTTATTTGTAATTATTTATAATTTATTTTTAAATACTCTGATAAACATATTTATGGCAATCATCCCATGAACTGAAGTTCCATAGCAGCACCAACAGCAACAGAAGAAGAAGAAGAAGAAGAAGAAGAAGAAGAAGAAGAAGAAGAAGAAGAAGAAGAAGAAGAAGAAGAAGAAGAAAACAAAGGAGGAGAAGGAGGAAAAGAAAGGGGGTTGGAGTTAATTAAAAAGTGGGTACAAATTAAAAGTTTTAAAAAAATAGGTATAGGTTAAATGGGGGCGACCAAATAGGGCGCCCCGTGCTATTTTTACACATTAATGTGGTCACACACTTGCATAAACTTTTTTAAGTATCTAATATTCGAAATTCACTAGATAGATTATACTTTTTATCAATATATTTTTTGTGCCTTTCACCAAAATCCCTAGACTTCTGATATTACTTGTTGCTGCCTTTGTTTTGGTTGTTTTGTATTTTTCCTCGGTTTTTAGATTGGTTTGCTTGTTATTGCCCCTCCCTTTTTTTCTTCCTGAGCCGAGAGTCTATTGGAAGAGCATCTCTGCCTTCTTAAAGACAAATGTAAGATCTGCGTACATTCTACCCTTCCCAACCCTCACTTGTGAGACTATACTGTATATATTGTTGTTGTTGCTTTTCACCAAAAGAGTTTCATTTTCCAGAGTCGAACTCGAGACTTATCGATTGAAAATGAAAGGATAGCAAATCAAGGATACCAAATCCTAACCTCTTGATGGTGTACTTGCACACACTTGCACATTCATTTGGGTGATTTTGATGTGAAGGCACGCAGAGGGCACGTGATGAGAGAGAAAAAAGAAGGGGCTGCAGTGCACGTGGAGCAAAGAGTATATTATAGAAATAGACAGACAAAAGAAGAAGAATTTGCTGTCAAGAAGAAGAAGAGAAAGAAGGATGCTTTAATTTGATCAGGAGATAGAGTGATCAGTGTGTAAGCTTTTGTCGAGAAAAGAGTAGTAATTGGTTTCATATTTGGATGATCATGACTTCATCTTCTTTCCCTTGGGATCTGTAACCACTTCTCTGCCACATTTCACCATCTCTCTCTTTTTCTTGTTATCTTCTTTCTTCTTTTTCCCTTTTTCTTTTCTCAAAGTACTTTCTTTATTCCAAAACTTGTAGACCCGTTGGTTGATTTTAATTTATGTGAATTTATTTTCTTTTTAGTCCGTATCAAAAAAATGATTCATTTCTCTATTGGAAATAATTTACCTTTATGCAATGATTTATAGCCATACAAAATATATGTGCTTCATTTTATATTACAAATTCAAAAGTCTTCTTTCTTTTCTTAAATTTCGTGCCCAATCAAATGAGTTCACATAAATTAAAACGAAGGGAGTTCGGTATAATTCTATAAGTACGATATGAAAATAGTAGTGTGTATGCAGATCTTACACTTATCTTGTGAAGGTCGAAAGGCTAGGAAAGCATAATCACAGTAATTTTTGTAAAAATACAATAGTGAGAAGCCATGCAAATAAAAGCATAAAGGTAAGCGAAGCAAAAAAATAACCAATAATAATAGAAATCTAAAAATAAAAAAATACGAGAATAATTTTAATATTACCGGTATGGATCCATTGTGAAAATTAAGAGAAACATATTGAATGAATAGGCCTTCTTGAGAAAAGAGTGTAAAACTATCTGTCTATCACGCCCAACTTGATTTTATTATAGAAATATATATATATATATATATATATATATATATATATATATATATATAATAATTTGACATTTTTGAAGAATTTTTTTCATTTTTGAAGAATTTTTTTTCCGTGAAAAATTAAGTAACTCTGACTTATCTATACTATATTAAAAGCACGAACGCCCTGTCGAAATATCGTTCGTCTTTTTTACCCTTCGTAAGTACATTATATGTTGGATATAATAGTAATTGTAATAACTAGTTTCTTCAAAATTTAAAAACGCTAATTGTCGACTACTTGCGGTTTACCTCCTTTTGTATAGGTTTTGGATTCCAATTCCATTAGGCTTCTACTTACCGTATTAGACATCTATTTCAATTTCTTTGTATAAGTTTTCTACTTACAGCATTAGGCTTCTTCCATTGGTTTCTTCTTTGTTTTGAAATCAAATTAGGTTTCTAGAATTTTACAAATGATTTAATTTCTCCTTTACTTACCATAGTTCCTTCTTCGTTGTTTTGAGATCAAATTAGGTTTCTAGAATTTTACAACTATAAAAGACGCTATTTTCTACATTCTTTGTCATAAACATACGTCCTCATATCAAATTTGCTTCTCACTTGCGGTAAATTTCTATCTTGTACTATATTCTTGAAGTTATGTAATAATGGTTGTTAGTGCACTATCGCTTATTGTTCCTCGCATCTTCTCCTTATGCCAACTTACTAATTGTTATGCCAGCTAAAGTTGCTCATATTTTCTCACAAAATTAAATTTGATTATCTCTTTTAATTGACTATTTTTAAATTGTCATACATATCACAATTTTTAAATTGTGTTATTAAATAATAGCCCTTGACAATTGACGTCGCTGAATCCACCCAAAGTGTTGATAATTTTCGTTGGTTCAGATAAACAATTCTCCTTATCGATCTCATAAATAATATTTTATATAATCTTCTTTTTATGATGTGATATATTATGTTCTGAAAGTTATGTAGCTTACTTGTAGTTCAACTATGATTTTTCTGTTACTCTTCTAAATCTTAGATTAGGATATTCTGTAATATCAATTTACATAAACTATATGCTAATTTAACTGCTTTAGCATTATTTGATATTTATGCTACTATTGAAAAATAATTGGTTTTAATGTGCATAAAAATTAACGCAAAATAGAAATAGAATCATAAAAAGCTTATCAATCCTCAATTTTAATAGTAGGTACATTGTGGTTGGATTAAAATGCGTTGGTGCATTAGCTATCCTTATTATTGGTCTAAGTAATTCTTTTAAATCTTCTGTTAAATAAAATTTTTAAAATTATGAATGTCTTATATGATTTTAGTGCCCTTTTGATATTAGACCACGTGTTCGCACTTGATTTCAGATACTCGCAATGGAAACTGAAACTGAATTTGCAAACGAATGCTTGCTACTTAATAGTTTGAGAAGATCCGACTCTCAGTGGATAATAAAAGTCTTACTTATTCAATGTGAAGTAGTTAAAGAATTTAAAAATGAAACAAATCAAGGCCTTCGATGGACTCTCATATTTGTAGATGAGGAGGTAATGTTATTTTTATTTTTGTATTATATTCGATATTTTTCGTATTACGTCCAATCATGATATTAAATTATGATAAAACTTTACAGGGAACAAAAATGCAAGCTATACTTTTCACTGATCAAGTGAATATGTGGAAGGAATACTTAGAACAAGGCAGTATCTATTACATCATTAACATCCACATAAATGATCGCAAACCTAATTTTCAATCTGTACACAAAGAATTTGAGATTGTGTTCAGTAATAATACTATAGTCAAGAGATGCAACAACCCGTTTTCAACCGTTAGCTTCTCAAACAGTTTCGTTTCGTTCGAAGAGGCATTCCAATG